CCTAGGTGACTCCCCTGATTTCTGAGATAGGTCCGGCATGGCATATCCCATGCGCTCTCCCAGCCGGATGAGCTCCGGGACAGTGGAGATGCCGTCATTGGGAAATGCAGCACGTACGATGGCCTCTAAGCATTTATATCTAAAGTGGGATTACAGACATCGTCAATGCGGGCTGGCTGCAGGAGAAGATTGCCTAGATGTCTTCTTACCGATCACTCAGATCATCCACGCTGCCGTAGAACCTGGTCTTTCGAGGAAGTGTATAAGAACATTCCAGGTCGTGGTCCTGGCACATGACACATCCGTGTCCTGATGGCAGTGGGACACATTTGCAGCGTCGCTGTCGGCATCATCGGAAACCCAGGTGTCAGCTACCAGCCCTTGCATGTACTGGAGGCAAGTTTTGACCCTGATCCTCCTGCATCTCGACACATCGGTGAGCTTACCTTTCGACAGAAGTCGCCTAGCGCAGGTCTCAGTACCGGGTCACTTCATACTCGCCTACAATAAGGCGATCTTCAAACACGAGGACTTACAGCTATGCGAGGATCGCTTTCGCGACGCGTCTGGGATCCTCCTCAGCCGGCGTTTCGGCGGTGCTGCTGCTGACACCTCGGCCATCGGGTAGAAAAGGGGTTGCGATCCTCCGCTACTTCCGTCTCGCGTCCGATAACATGGTCGACTCGGTCGCTCTTTTGGGTAGATCGTAGGATAACTGACAGGAGGTCTATGCCAGTACTGCGGAATCAAAGAAGCGTCGGAGCAATGAACCGTATGCACGTCGGAATGGGGGAATGACACGGAGTTATACTCCCGGTTCAAGCCCCGCTTATCAACCCTGGGCAGGAATTGCGGGGAAGCAATGCGGGGAAGCGTTGTAGCTTCCCCGCATGGTCTACGTCTACTCTTCTACAACGCTTCCCCGCATGGTCTACGTCTACTCTTGGCACAACACATGGAAATATTCAGCGAAGTGGTTGACTGGTATCGAGACTTGGTCCGTTTCCAGTCAAAATCACACCTTCGTAGAATCCCTGGCGTTCCCACCTCTCACGCCTTTTGGCTCTGCTTGTCAGCTGGACGCAGCACGCATCAATTGGCAAGATGTCGTCTACAAGCGAGTCCTTCACTCTCCCAAATGGGCGACAGATGGCTTATACCCTCTCGCCCGGCGGTTCCTCCGATCGCGTGGTCCTTCTCTCCAACTCCTTGGCCGAAGATCTGACCTCCTGGGAGCGCGTCGTGCCTGTGGTGGAAAACCAAGGCTTCCGCGTCCTCCGCTACGACCAGCCAGGCCATGGACGCTCGGGTGCACCTACTGAAGCCGAATTGACCTCCATGACATTCGAGACCTTGGTCGACGACGTCTACCACCTTCTCGGACACCTCAAAATCAACAAGTTGCATGCCTGGGTCGGCGTTTCGATGGGCGGCATCAAGGCCGTGTACTTCACCGCGCGCCACCCAGGCATCGTGAACAAGATCGTCGTGGCCGACGCCATCGCCGCTTCCCCAGCCGCGGCCAGCATCCCCGATAACTTCGCCACGCGGGTAAGCGCCGTCAAGCAGTCGGGTTCCATCTCGGACGACCTGTCAAATACTCGGAAACGGTGGTTCGGTGAAGACTGGATGGCGAAGCATCCGGAGGAGACGGCGAGGATGGAGAATTCCATGGCGACAACTACGATTCAAGGTCTCGAGGCGTGCTGTGCTGCCCTTAGCAGCCCGTCTTTCGACCTGAGGCCGCTATATACGAAGGTGGGACACGGCTGCGAAGAGGCACTCATTGTCGCCGGGGAGAAGGATGCGGACCTTCCAGTCAAGATGCAGGAGATGCGGCAGGCTATCGAGGAGAGCCTCCGGAGCTGTGGAAAGAAGGTGCCCGTGAGGATGGAGATTATCAAGGGTGCCGGGCATGTTCCCTACATTGATGGTTTCGAGGACTTCTGCGAAATTATCACCAAATTCCTTGCCTAGATAGCACTCTGCTTCACGATTGTGAAATGTCTTTAATTTTCTTGTCAATCTAGACTTTGCATTAAACCAATCTTGACACAAAATCATTCTTCAGTCATATTCCCGAAGTGTGTGATGTCCCTAGTCCCATATTTCTCATTTTCGCTATAGCTAGTCCGGGGAGCAAGTGCGCGCTAGTAGGCAAATAGAAGCAATCGTCGGAAGTTGGGCCCGACTAGGATGCTCTCCGATGACCAGCCAAGTGGGGCGAGGGCCGGGAGCCATGAACGACACCCCTCGGGTGCAGTCTTCCGATGGCCAACCTCAACCCAGTGGGGCGGATCCGGAAAGGAATGCAGAGAGAATCAGAGGCGAATGCGGATCTCCATCAGCCAAATTTGCCATCATGAGTTCTATAAAGTGATCTTGTTTGAGATGGCCAATCGAGACATTGGAAGACCTACTTGCGCAAAGCGGGAGACAACCACAACCCGGACGAAATAACAAGATGCCTCACGCATCCAGATCATTGAACGTTCTCATCGTCGGTGCTGGCTTGGGCGGCCTCGCGGCGGGATTGGCTTTGCAGACGGACGGCCACAAGGTCACTATTATCGATGCCGCTTCTGAGTTCGCAGAGGTAAGGCATCCAACAGCAGATGCATTTTGAACATGCCATATCTAGCAGAAGAAATCAATTGACTAACATTGGAGGTTCGTACAGGCCGGAGCGGGGATCAGGATTCCACCCAACTCGAGCCGGCTGCTCATGCGATGGGGCGTTGATCTGGAGAGGATGAAGAAGTCGACTTCACAGAGATATCACTTCATCCGCTGGAAGGATGGCAGCACCATCTTCGACTTGCCCTTTAACAATATCGTCGAGACACACGGGGCGCCTTACTGGCTTGTCCATAGAGCCGACCTACACGCCGCTCTGCTCGATGCGACCCTGAAGGCCGGCGTCAAGGTTCTAAACAACAAGCTTGTCACGTCCTACGACTTCGAGGCACCGAGCGCCACCACACAGGATGGCGAGACCTTCAAGGCCGATCTGATTGTCGGTGCGGACGGCATAAAGTCCGTCTGCCGACCCCTTCTTACCGGTCAGCCGGACGTCCCGCGGGACACAGGCGACGTCGCCTACCGGATTCTCATCCCTGGTGAGAAACTACTGGCTGATCCGGACCTGGCTCATCTGATCCGCGACCCTTGCACGACATCGTGGTGTGGCCCGGACGCGCACCTGGTCGGCTACCCGATCCGCAACGGCGAGATGTACAACATCGTCATGTGTGCCACCTCCTACAACGAGACCACGGACGAGATCTGGGTCGTCAAGGGCGACAACAGCGAGCTGTGCAAGCGCTTCGCCAGCTGGGAACCCCAGGTACGGAAGCTCTGCGCCCTCACGGGCGACTTCATGAAGTGGCGCCTGTGCGACCTGCCCAACCTCACCCGCTGGACGCACCCCTCGAGCAAGGCCGTGTTGCTGGGCGACAGCTGCCACCCCATGCTGCCTTACCTGGCCCAGGGCGCTGCCCAGGCCGTCGAGGATGCCGCCGTCCTGCGCCAGGTGCTTGCCCAGGACATGGACATGGCCGCGGCTCTAAAGCAGTATGAGCAGATCCGCATGCCGCGGGCAAGCCTGGTGCAGGCCAAGACTCGCGAGCACCAGTACATCCTCCACGTCGACGACGGTCACGAGCAGCAAGACCGGGACAAGAAGTTGGCTCTCGATGCGGCGGAGAACCCGGTCTTCTGGGGCTACGACGACCGGAGAAATTGGCTCTTTAGCCATGATGCAGAGGTAATCCAAAAAGAAGGTGCCAACTGGAGAGATGGGCCCAACATGAATGGCGTGCATGTTTCTTAGATTACTGTGGCAATGCCTTAGACTCTTTTATTCTTCAACCATACCATACATCCTCGCGTTTTGCATTAGTCCTCGGCGATTCACCTCGCAGTTTTCGTCCTCCTTTGGTTACATCTTCCCAGCTTAGGCGGCTAGTACGTCTTCTGTATTTCTTTGAGGCAGCTGTAGGAAACTTTGACGTTGAAAGTTGACAAAACCACTTCCACAGCGTTTGTGACGAGGGCCACATGCCTACAATCTACCAAGAGAAAGAGATTTGGTGAGAAACGAGAAATCTGAAGAAGAGAGGGAAAGAGAAAAGAAATAAAGTGAGCTCAAAGAGTAAGAGGCGGACTTAGAGGAGTAGATTGTGAAACGAGTAATAAAATGGATGTTGCTTTTAATGAGGCCGTAGAGGGGACAAAGTCTCCTTTAATATTTTGTCACAGGACGCATGACTAGCGCAAAAGGCCTCTTTAAACTGTATTATCTTGAATAGACGGGCTACCTTACTTATGCCGTTTTTGTCAGTTTTATTTAGATGGAGACCTCTAGAATGGGATAGCCACACAAGTACTATTAACGAGCTAGTTATCACAGAAGAGATGACCCTGTGGTGGCCTTTTTGGGTATAGTCTGACTTGGGCTGTGGGAAAAGAATTACCGCTCGTTGATTGGACAATGGGTCCTGGTGAGTAAGCCGTGGCTAAGTGATCACTGAGCGATCACATGACTGCACTGATCAGATCACTGAGCTTGAGCGGGGGCTGACATTTACTTACTCAACTGAGCCTGAGCCCGAGTGCCCTCATTAAAGCTTCGGTAGCCTAGACAGGAAAGCCCTACCGGACAGATTCCGGTGTATATAGGCGCATATTGCATCATTGGGTGTGAGTCTGAGGTAGCACAACTTATTATCTTGGCCATGTGGAGAGGTCTATAATGGGCTTTGTCCGGATGCGGCGATCAGTCGACATTGTACTTTGTAGACGTGTGTGGGTGGATGGATGGAGATCGGATTGCGAAGTATGGAGATCGCGATTCTTCAGATGACGCACGGAGTCGATCTCCCGAGCTGCTCTCTTATTTACGTGTCAAGAGTACAATAACAATTGAGCTGGCTGATAGATAGTCTTGTAGATCAGCTATGGTATTGTTAAGTAAACATCTATTCTAATGTACGGTACCTCGAAAGAGTAGTCGGGATGGATTCTCCCATGCCTGGTTCCGCCAGGGAGTCCCCGTGGTGCGTCATTCGCCAAAAGTCTGTCCAGCACGCATGCGGCATCATCACTACGACCTCGAACAAAACCTCGATCTGCAACGGGATAGGGCCCCCCTGGGTCTGTGCTCCGTCAAATTGGCCGTTGAATGGATGCATCCACAATCTCACTTTCATCTTAATCCGTCGCAGGTCGACGCGAGTCTCAGTTAATTTCGCTTCGCTGGCTTAACCCCCTTCCCTCCCACGTTTCGGGAGTCGTGACCCTTACACACGTCCACTCTGACACCGATCCATTCTTTGGCTCACTCCTTCACGCTTCACTCCTCCTCCCGATCGGTTATTCCACCACTATAGCGAATAAATCGACAACGCATTACTCAAACCACACATCCTTGCCCGCCGATCGCAACCCATGTCCCTGTCGCGATCACCCTCTCCCCACCCGGGCGGAGGGTGGTCCAGCCCGGGGTTAACCCCCGGCAGCGGCTCCTCGACTCCGCGCGGCTATTCGCCCGCATCGCTGGCCCCCGGCGGTATATCCTGGGCCGCGGCCAAGGCTAAGAGCGACGAGGTGCGCAAGTATCCCTCTTTCGCAACACGCAATAGCGGGTTCTTTTCGCGGCAGAAGCGTAAGATCTCGGCGCGGTTGCCGACCTTTCGAGGTCATGCCTCGAAGCACGGGTATCACGATAAGGATGTGTATGGGCGTGGGCATTTACATGCTGCTGCTGGTGGACGGGGGCCTTTGCCTGTGTTGAAGACGTTATTGCGACGGGGGAGGACGAGGGTGATATTTGGATTGTTCTTGTTGTGGCTTGGATACCTGTTTTTGTGGTCGAGTAAGTGGTGCAGGCGTATAGGACTTGTGTTGGGTTGAATGATGGAATACTAACAGATTTACGTTCTACAGCACTCGTTCAATTATACCGACGATCACCGCTAGGCGGAGGTCCCAAATTCGTGATCATCTTGGGATCAAACGTGGAAGGCGGCGTGATGGAATGGAAAGGCGCACGCGAATGGGCCATCGAGCGCAATAGTGTCTGGAATAAACAGCAATACGCAAACCGCTGGGGTTATCACCTCGAGATTGCCAATATGCTGGCCAAGAAGCGGTACTCACACGAATGGCGTGAAAGCTGGGAGAAAGGCGACGTGATCCGAGAAGCTATGCGCAAGTATCCCAACGCCGAATGGTTCTGGTGGTTGGATTTGAATACCTGGATCATGGAGTACAGCACCTCTTTGCAGAGCCATATCTTCAATGACCTCGGATCGCATGTCTATCGCGACATTAACGAGTACAATCCCCTCAACATGACACATCCACTTCCGGAATTTTTCCTCGATGACCTCGGTCGTGCCCTCGAAGGCGATGGCAATCCAGACTCGCTCTCTTTACTACTGACCCAAGATTGCTCCGGATTCAATCTGGGCTCATTCTTTCTACGTCGGTCTCTCTGGACTGAACGCTTAATCGATGCATGGTGGGATCCCGTCATGTATGAACAGATGCATATGCAGTGGGAACACAAGGAGCAGGACGCTTTGGAATACATCTACCAAAGTCAAGCCTGGGTTCGCAGTGGTGTAGGCTTCTTGCCACAGCGCAAGATTAATGCCTTCCCACCCGGTGCCTGTGGCGACGATAATGACCCCGCCGTGCACTACCAAGAGGCAGAACGCGACTTTGTGGTCAATATGGCCGGGTGCGCGTTCGGTCGAGACTGTTGGGCTGAGATCTACAATTACCGCGCCATCAGCAAGGAGCATAATCGTTCTAAATGGCAGTGGTTTACGGATCGACTTGGCTCGGCTCGTGACTGGGCGTTCGGGAAGAAGGACCAGGATTAATGGTCAAGTTTACGTTGCTCTTTTACCCTCTTCTTCGTGTTTGACACTATTTTCTGTTATTTTTATGCCTTCATGTTTGCACGGGCCCGATACACGCTTAGATGGTCGGGCATTGCATGACACGGACCCAAAACTGGCAGGGCGTCCTCTGGTGGTTTGTACATTGGGAGTTTTAGGATTTGCATTTTTCGGGGGAATTTCGGTGGTTAGAATTGGATTTGCATATTCTATTGATGTCAATAGTATTTTTTTCTTTGGCTCAACTCAATCCTTTCATTCAATATTGTAATCGCTCGTACACCACAAGGACAGACATAAGCCTGTCCCCGAAAGCGTCCAATCTATATAAATCACGTGATCCATACACAAACCTGCACACCTGGTCTATCTCCCTCCCCCAATCTAATTCCCACCGCCCAACCCCTTCAACCAATCACAACCCCCCTAAACCAACCACCAAACCACTTCCCTCCGACATCCAACCGCCCATAACCTTCAAATCGGATCCCACACCGGCTTCACTTCAATCCCGCACGCACTCCCACCGGGGCCGCATACAACAACCCCCTCTCAACCTCCTCTCAACCTCCTCTCCCCGTCCACAACCCGCTCAACCCGCTCACAATGCCAACCGCCGAGTCCGCCGCATTCCTCGCCAAAAAGCCCACCGTGGCTCCGACCTACGAAGGCGTCGACTTCGAAGACAACGTCGCTGTGCACAATGCTCGTGACGCGATTATCCGAGAGCAATGGGTGCGCAGTATGATGGCTCGTCTTGTCGGTGAGGAATTGGGCAAGTGCTATGCGCGCGAGGGCGTGAATCACCTCGAGAAGTGTGGTGTGCTGCGCGGTAAGACCGTCCCCAATCCCGAGGGTGTGAACTTGAATTGCGGAAGAATTGGAGAGTTTGAATCTTGAATTTGAGTCTTTTGGTTCTACGGTTGCCATTGGTTCGGATCGGTGGGAGTTGGGAGGGATAATCTGAGATTCAAGATTCAAGTTTCAAGCTTCGTGTGCTGATTTGATTTGTTTGCAGAGAAATACTTCGAGTTGCTCAAGGAGCGCAAGGTTAAGGGTTACCTTTTCCAGGAGAAGAACTACTTTGGTGGCGAGGCCAACAAGTCCTCTTAAGCGGCTATCAGCTGTTTAGGTTACGAACGGTTCGAGTGGATTGATGACGGGGAGCTCCTTGCCGAGTCGAATACCTGCAGAGTGTCTGTCTGCCTACCACCATCTCGATGCTACGATATGCGAATGGGCACGTTTTGGCTAGATGCTATATGGACATCCTTCGCTGTCGACACTGCAGGCTAGGTTGTGCATGACTTTTGACGGGGATTTTCGATATTTCTGGCTCGGCTTTACCCGGGAAAAGATGAAGCGGGGGAGAGAGTGGCTTTCTCTCTGTTGTATTGTACATATAAGATATCATTGTCTGGTCAATTTCATTTTCGTTAAGAACATCTGCTCTTTTTGTCGGGACTCTGGAACTAAGAGCTGTAATCGCAACAGGGACTGCTGAATACGCCGATGGTTAAGCTTGTTTCTTGCATTTGCTGGTCAAGATATACCGGTGCTGATGCTATTCATCCTCAACTTCCTTCCGGGTATCACATCAATAGTACACATTTGAAGCAGTCTGGCTTCGATCAGGGAAACCACCTGGAGCCGTCGGGCCTCCAGCTGAAAGAGGTTCCTCCTCACTGTCATCCGGATCACTTCCAAAGCGCATATTCATACTCTCATCAGGTAAAGCCCGCATACGAACCAGCTGTTCCTCATCCAAGGAGGCCGGCTTGTACGGACCAGGCGGCGTGTGAATATCTCGACCGGACGGAAGATTGGCCAGTAATGGAGCAGACGGGGGAATTGCTTGCGTGTTGATCTAACCCATATCAGCATCCAAGCAATCGAACCAGTTACAAGGGCCGAAACTCACTGTATCATTCATCTTCATCCATTTCGTCTCCAACATCGCAATCACTCGACCCTCCTCATCACGACCAGCGTCATCGCCCGAGTCCAGGACACCTTTATCCCCACGCCCTGCACCGGCATCCTTACCAATTTTCTTTTCTTCTCTTCGCTCGGCCCACTCACGCTTCAACCTCGAGAATCCACCCTTGCCCGATGTCCCACTACCTTCTTCCCGGCCCGAAGAAGACGATCCGACACCACCACGCAAACCCAACGGCGTCCGGGCCGCCCGCAACCACGCAATACCCTCACCAACCTTCCCAGCCAACTCGGCATCGATACCGAAAAACCGGCAGGCTCGAGCTCGAGCCACACGCCCCAAAACCCCAGCGTACCGAGTAACTTCTTCATCGACCCTTCCGATCCTTCCAGCCCCAGATTCAACGGCACTCAACCCCGCAGCAGCTTGTTCCGCATACTCTGCCGCACGAACACACAGCCTCGCAAACAGTAATGCGCGAACTTTCGGGATCTCAGGTGCCCGCACCATCCACTCCCTATCATTCGGATTCCGCGACTGGATGCACGCCGTCACGTACGCATCATCCTTCAGGACAGCCAGCAGCGTCGCCTCGGACAGCGCCAGCGCCGACAATGCCGCTTGCGTACTCGCATCGATATCAGGAACCGTCGCCGTGGTCGCGGCCGCGAACGCGGGCGACGAGGCAAGCAGTGCATGCACCGAGCTTGCCTGGAGTAGATTCCTGGTGGCGTTTTGAACAACAGCCGTACGTTGTTCCTGGGATTGTGTCGTAGGCGCATAGAGCGACTCTAAGACCCCCGCGCGCGCAAGTCGGCTGAGCACGTAACCCAGCGTCGTAAGCGTAAATGCGATTTCAAAATCAATTCCCTGTCCGGCGACGCGGCCGCCACGCGGTCGAATGGATTTCACGCCTGGCGTGGTGATCGGCGCGTGGAGGTTCAATCCGCTACCAGCGGACAGCGTGGGTTTCCATGCAGACTCGATCTCGGCGCGAAGCGAAACTTCGATCTTTTCGCCGGTATTTAGCCCCGCGAGAGATCCCGGGCTGTCATGCTGGAAAGATTGGCCGGAGAGACCGGCCGAGATTGCGAATAGATATGGAATGTATTCGTTTAGAGCGGCGAGGACGGTTGGAAGGTGGGCGTCTTGTCGCGGACCGCGGGGTAGACGTTTGTGGGCTTTTAGGGCGAGACGGAGGGCATGGCGGGCTGTTGAGGCGGTTTGAGGGAGAGAAGGATGTGTGGGGGAGTATATGAATGTTTGGAATGAGAGGGGGGAGGTTGTTGGGAGAGTGAACGCGTAGACCATGGTGGAAGGGTGATGAGGCGCGGGGAGTTGGAGAAAGTTGGGGATTTCAGGGCGGATCTGATGTCACTGCTGGGCCAAGACGGGGTGGACTTGGCGATGGAAGCAGTGCCAAACGAGATTGGATCTGGATAACAGTATTTAGGAAGGAAATTTTTGGATCATAATCTTTATATTCAGTTGTTTGAGTTTCAGAGTTGTTCGAAATCTTGGTTTCAATTCCTGTCTATCCAATGAAATATGTTCTATCGACGATCTACTATTGAATGTTGTGTCCACGCGCAATGTACGCCTACATCTTGATATATATGCGACTCTCCGCAAATATGGGATTATCACGCCCTGTCCAAGTCATTCTTGTACAACCGCTTTCCTTGCCACTGCAGGTAGACTGTAGGGAAAAAGCTGCAGCCCATAATGAGCGCAGTAGCAACGCCAGAGCTCTTGGCAATGCCAACGCTGTCGAACATGGAGGTGAACCTGAATCGAGAATTAGCCAAGTCTCTATATCTTAGTCTTGCATTGTGACTTACCAGAAAGGCCCAATGAATCCCCAAGTTGATCGCACAAAGTTGATAAACACACCAACGCTACCCGCGTCCTGGGGATAAGTATCCACAGCATAAGTCGTCATGACGGTAGTAACGACTTGGTTACCAAACGCAGCAATACCAGTTCCGATAATGGGTTTAACGTTCCACTCGCCCGTAGTAGCCTGCTCCGTGCACACCAAGAACACAACCATACCCGCAATGGTCAGCAGGAATCCAATATAGCTGAGCCACAGTCGGTACTCGGGAGCGGGCTTGTGACCGATCTTCTTGGCACGAGCATTCATCCACATGTCGGACATGAAGCCGCCCAATTGCTCACCGAGAAGAGAGCCGACGATCAGACCGAGGAATTGGAGACCGAGTTGTTGGGCGTTGAGTTCGAACTTGCTCTGCAGGAGCTGGGGAACCTCGACGGAATTTAGCACGGAGGCGAAGAGGAAGACCATGGAGTAGGCGATGGTGGCGAGGAGGACGGGGATGTTTGTGAGTAGAGTCAACGGGTGGTAGAATTCAGACACCTTGATCGGGGTTGGGTCGATGCGGCGTAGGGACAAGTACTCGCGCTTGAAGGCTGAGGATTCAGATTCAACGTCGGCGCCGATGTAGCGAGTTTCCGGACCGAAGAAGAGGTAAAGGATGGCCTGGATACCGTTGGTCTGTAAAAAGGGTCAGTGTACATGTTCTGCATGCTTCGTCTTGCAATTTCAAAGAGGAGGGCTGAACTCACAATAGCCAGAACCCAGTAAATCCAACGATAGTCAACCCGCTGGGCCACAAAGCCAAAGATAAAGGGACCAATCGGCACACCAAGGGTAACCATAATGGTCCAAATACCCATATACTGCGCTCGCTCATGGCGGAAGAAAGTCTCCGTCACCACACCACTTCCAATAGCCATCGCCGGCGAAATGAAGAAAGCCACCAATGCACGGCAGGCTGCCATGGAGGCATAGTTGGGGCTCTTCGCGCAACCAATGTTGCAGACACAGCTCAGAATCAAAGACAAGAGGAAGATAGGGCGTCGTCCGAATCTGTGGGAGAGGGGCTTCCAGAGTAATGGGGCACCTCCGAGAATTGCAATTTGCAAAGAGGTCAGATAGGAAACGCGTTGAATAGTGACGCCCAGGTCAAGAGAGATTTCTTCGTAGGCGGCGATGATAGCTGCAGCGGTAAATGTGCCCATGCAAGCATGGAACGCAACAAGGGCTAGATTGACAACTTTCTATTCATTGTTGAATCGAGTCAGCAAATGCTCTCAGGGTTCTTATAGATATCAACGCTGTTGTGATGCTCACCTTCCACAGAGCCCAGTTGTACGGATCCGCCGGATCCATGCTAGGAATCGGATCAAGATCCAGCGTTCCATGACGTTCAATCAAGTACGCCTTGTGCGACTCGGGGAGATACATGGTCGGATCAGCATTGATCGCGATATCTTTCTCCTCGAGATAGTCGGATGAAGACTTTGCGGGAGTTCCTCCCGGAATATTATGCTCGTTTGACGACATTTTGAACGATACTGGCGACCAAGACTAATGAACAGTCGTTGAAGAGATTCACGAGGAGCGAGGACAGTCCAAGATAAAACCATGCAGAGGGGGTTATTCCACAAACCCCGCGTGTGTCAGGCTCGGAAACCGGTGGTCTCCGGGGTATGGAGATTCGTTCGCCCCAACGCAACCGGTGGACCATCCTGGGGATAAACGTGGAGGTGCTAGGACGCAAAAGGCATCCATTGGATTTTCCGGCCACCACCAGGGTGTGCAGTGGAGATGGGCTATATTTGCTATAGTTACAAAGCCTACGATAGGTCCATCAAGGCCATACCAAGGTGACTCCGTGCCCGTGTGATGGGGGTGTGGCGGTCCTTCCGGTAGTTCTAGTCCGGGGGATTGCCGGGGCGAGGATGTCGTTGGGATACTCGGAGGCCGTTCGAGAGGTACAGGAGCCGAGTCCAGGTCAAATTTGGGCGTGATGACAAAAGCGCGAAGAGGCCGAAGCTGACCCGATCCACTAAGGTTCCACCCGGAACCTCGCTTGGTTTGGCCAACTGCCGATGCAAAGTTCCGAGCTTCTGACTGGAGGAGTCGGCCTGGGCGTGTGCTGGGACACGGCTGAGACGCCAGCCAAGTCGGGTGGCGCGGGAAGGCTCAGAGTTTTTGTTGAACCTTGATACAGAGCTGAGATGAGAATCCTTGTAGTGAAAGATAGCTTTTGAACGGATTGTAAAGGTTGAAATTCGATGAATTCGGAGAATATTTTCGTCTTCTGCACCTAGAAATCCCCCGGGCTGTCCACTTGGGGGGAGCGGGGAGGAGAAGACCGGGGTTGACTCCACTTGGAATACTTAAGCCACAAGTCCCGCAGTTTGCCGAGGCCAGAACAGGGTCCTTATTGACAACGATAAGGGATTGGTGACACCGAGTAGACAAACCAGGATAGTACAGTGTATGCGTGGGGATCTTGTGATGCGCTAGGATTTCAGTCATTTCCCCAGGTCATTAGCCTGGATATTTCTGGGGTAGATTGACCCCATCCTGCTGCTAGTTGCAAAGTGCTTGCCCTCAGTATCGCAGACTGCCACAGGTATTGAGCTCAGAGAGTAGATTGACTGACTGACATTTTCAGCACCACTTCTCAAACTGTACAGGAAGTGTGCTTGTCTCTAACGAGAAAGACAAAGATACAGACATCATTATACTGGGGATACCAATACTCACGTGATATGAAGCTTCAGATCCACGAATCCCCAATAGATTAGAGCGTTTCCAGGATTCATGCGCAGAGGAAAAGGAGGGCGCTTCGACTTCGAAGTGAGCGGTTGATCCCGGGGTTCCAAAAAATTGAAAAGGGAAATGGAGTCTGCCATAGTTTCTGGGTACAGTAGTCCGCCCGTCCCTGGTCCTGGCACGTGACCGTGAGGCCTCGAACTCAAGATGATTCCTCCACTATAGGTTGAGCTCTAAGCTCGCCGCCTTCCTTCATTTCACATCTACAGATTGGAATACTCTCTCAATGCAGCTGGAATCCGCACGGAATTGGTTTCTATCTGTAAGCAATTATTATGCCAATTTCAATTATGACCGCGTATTTCCTGAGATTTGAAATATCATTTCTTAGGAGTAATTGTTCATTGTAAAGGATCATGTTGGGCCAAAATTACCAGGAAGTTGACATTTTGACGAAGCGTCATTCGCACTATTTGGTATCCTGCAACTGGCATACATCGTAAAAATTTCCGCAACTGTCTGCATTAAGACGATTGCAACTCGCTAAGTGAACATCAAGCTACCATCGCAATCCTTGACTTTGAAATCTCAGAAGCAGATACGGCACTTGTGCTTCCGCTAGCTGAACCAAGATGAGGTGCCCAGAAGAAGGGAAATTGCCATCGGCGTCGGATTACGCGACGCGCTGGTAAGGGGGAGCTTATTGGAGCATGAAGCTGCACTGGCACATGAGCGACCGGTGTCTGAGGTATGTGAGACCATATGCCCGCGTCATACTCAATCATCTGCCGTAGTCGATAATGCAGATGCCCCGAAAGGGTCTCCGAGAGTAATCGCATCGGAGAGATCAAGGCACACACTGACTGGACTCTTTCGGCATGTTCTCATGGTCGGCATCTTTGACAAACAGCTTTCTCCAGAGAAAGCACCCGTTTGTAAAGGTGGATTTGGGTGGTGTTGATTTGGGTCGAGGGGTTGTTGTCCGATGTTTCTGGTGGGCGGATGATGCATTGGGCTTTCACACTTCTACACGATCTTCCTCCGACAGATGACTCGGGGCGCTACTAACACCCGAAGTATCACTGGCACCTGGACTCACGGGAGCCCGAGATCGTACTTGCGCACCCCATTCTTGAATACTCGGCGCACCGCCTTCCAGAATAACCGGGTGCTCTTCCCCACTCTTGCCCAGGACTGTCCCCGCGTATCGAGATTCTTCGCCAGTCTTACTGTGCTTCTTCTTCAGCGCCGTCAGGAAGTCCTCTTTCTCGATGGCATCCGGATCCACCATATCGCCCTCACTCGGGACAAAACCTGCAATGCGCCGAATCTCACGATGCGCAGGGCCCGTTATCCATCCAAGCAGAGACTCGAGGCCACGCAAATCTTCTTCGCCGGCCCAGTCCTCCTCCCACTCTTTCAGTTGGGGTCTTAGCGCACCGGCATCTTGGAGCGCTTGGTAGACGTCTTCAATGACTGGGGATGGGTCCTCGGGGTGGGCATTGGCGGCGTGGGCGGCTGTTGCAGAGGCCAGGATCATGAGATATCGTCCAGTCAGTTCGGATAGTGACTCTAGGACCGATGGGCGCGTCGAGTGAAATCCTTGAGCTCGGAGGATCTGGATGATGGGAGGCCGCAGGAGTGCATTGTGAAGGTTGTGACCGGACATTGCAGCCCAGATAGCTGACCGTGTGTGATGTGAGACGAGTAAGGTAGCAACTGCCCAAGGGTGAGCAAGAGGTGTTGAAGTTGTTCGAGTTGCCGAGGTGAGGATTCGCGGCCGAGGTGGGGAAAGAGAGTAGTACACGACACAATGAAGGGAGGTGAATGGTCGAATGGCCGTTGGCTGTTGACGGTGAAATAGTGGGAGGAGCTCTGCGCCGACAGTTGACAGTCCGTGTAATCCTGATACACATATCGACCTCACCGCCTTTTCATCCGCTTATTTTACTTACAATGTCTTCCATCAGCATGCTAGAGGAACCGCCAGATAGATCCTTGATCTTGCAACTATCAGCTTCAGAAGTTTTGTACTTGGCGGGTATTCAGTCACATATTCTCTTTCACATCTGATCAGCGAGTTTGCCATGCAACAACCGACCTGAATGTCTTGACAAGCAACTCCATTCTGCCGGCCATATACCAAATTTCAGTACACCTGCGGAGTGGCCGTGGCTGGCCGCAGGAAGTGATAATCCCAGCGCGTCCTGACGACCTTCTACAACCTCCTTCCCATCACAGCCTCACAGACACCTCGCCTTGCCACCTTGAGTTCGCGCCGAATACCTACACACACCACGTCTCTCTTTCCGAACCGGTCGAGTCATGTCTGAGCCTAAGGGCCCGACCCTGAAGCTCAAGTTCGGCAAGAAGCCCGCTCCACCACCAGCGGAGCCAGCGCCAGCTGAAGCTGCACCGCCGAAGCTCACTCTAAAAATCGGTCGCAAACTCCAACCTCCGCCCGAAGCATCCGAAGAGAAACCCAAGAAAAAGAAGGCCTCGACGAAGAAACGCCCCGCCGAGAATGCAGCCCCTCCTGAGCCCGCAGCGGCTCAGCCAGGTCCGAAGCGGCTCAAACTGAACGCATCCAAACTCAAGTCGATTCGCATCAAGAACAAGGCCCATGTTCCCAACCGGCCAGTGGGCGTCGGTTACGACTCGGAGGCATCGGATACGGAGATGGACCCAGCGATCGAGGAACAGTTTATCTTACGAATGCTGCCGGGCGAAGACTGCGACTACCTGCGACAAGCTATCGAGGAGAGGAAATTCGACAAGTCGGAGTTCTCGTTCAAGCCGCTTAATCGTGAAGGGAGACGGGCCATCTTCAAGGTTCGGAACAAGCAGTATGCGGCAGCTTTGGTCGATCTGCCCTGTATCATCGAGGGCATGAAGAGTTGGGATCGTCGGGGGTGGTATAAATCCGCCGACATCTGCCAAATGCTTTTAATCTTGGGTCCTGTCTCGAGTGATCAGGAAGCTCTGGAATATCCACTCCCTCCCGAGATTGAAGCCGCCGACACCAAGACCCTACAATACCCCCATGGTCTCGCGCCACCCTTACGATGGGTCCGGAAGAGACGTTTCCGTGATCGTGTCAGCTCGAGGACTATCGAACAAGTGGAAAAGGCGGTCGAGGATTTGGTTGCACAGGATGAACAATCACTTTTCCCTCCAAGATTCGACCTGGTGGATAGCGCGTCACTGAACCGTGCCGAAGGATTTGTGCCGGAGGACTACGATTATGAGTACGATGAAGAGCAAGATGCTGAAGGCGAGGTAGACGAAATGATGGACGACTTTGACGACGACCTGGCCGCCGAGATGGAAGCCGCACTGGCTGCTGGAGATGATGATGCAGCGGCCGCCGTCTCCGAAGCAGTACAGGCAGCCACTGCATCTACGCCGGCTGCACGGACCGAAGGGGGAGGTGATTCATCAGGCGATGAGAATGAGGTATCGGATGAGGATGACGATATCCCAGAAGATGATCTCGACGAGGAACAAATGGAGCAACAACGCCAGCTCCAGCAGCACCGGGAAGAGATCGCCGAGCTTGAAACCCTCATTCAAACGGAAACTGCACAATGGCAGAAAGTGCAAAATCAAATTCTGCGGAACAAAATGGGTCGCCGCATTCAGGAGCTCAAGAAAGACCTGGAGCTCAAGAAGGTGTCTATTGGGATGCCTGGCGAGAACGATGTCTGATAGGTGGGGATGGGTTCGGAGTTCAACTCGCATTTACAGGAAGCATTCAACTTGGCGCTGGCGCACATTACTTTTTTTCCCTCTCATGATACTCCTTTATTGAAATTCCACAGGAAATCGTTTACTTGATCCGTTCATCAACCATGTTCGCTGGAGAAAGCCGGTTGTAGATCCCTGACGTCATCCAGCCATCAGTATAGAAGCGCCCTACCAGAACTACTGACCTTCGATTCTTACAACTTTTCACACCTAGTACTGCACCATTGTTCAAGTCAAACTTGCTTGTAAATATATCTTTCACTGATCGTTGCACCTATCATCAAGCCCATCAACACCAAGATGCAAACTCGCAGTCAAACCCGTCAGCCAGTCCAACCACCCAAGGAAGCCGCCTATACACAAGCTTCCAATCCAGTCTCACAAACCCCATCCGAGCAGCGCGCACCGCCTCCCACACGCCAGTACGGCGACCCAACCCCCTCAATCACCCGAGGACCCAGCTCCAACCCATCCAACGACGAAGCCCTCGCTCGTCTCCAGGAACAGCATCGCCAAGAACAAGAGCAAATGCAAAAGTCACCGGACGTTGACCTGGAATACGGTGTGGAGCAACAGCCCGCCGAGGGATACATTGCTGACACCGTCGCGCGTAAGGGGATGGGCATGCAACGGGCGCAGGATGGTGCTCATGCCGGCCCTGTTGGTAGTGCTGCGGGGCCTGGACATCCGGGCTTTGGGGAAGAGAGAGATTTGGCGGCGAATATGGAGCAGAAGAAGGCTGAGCATGAGCGCATGTTGGGTGAGAAGGTTGGAAGGAGCCCTGCGGGTCCGGATGCTGAGGTTGTAGAGAGAGAGGCTGTCAGGGAGCGCAAGTTGAAGAGGAATGAGGAGGTGGAGGGGGTGCTCAAGGAGTCATCGGAGACGCCTGTTGTTGGTTAATAGAAGGAAAATGTTTTAGAGATTTATGTGTCTTTCAAGCTGCCATCGTCGTAGTTCTCCAAGGACTTCTTCGGTGTGGCATTGTGTTCATATTTTGCTTCCAACTTCACCCAGTCGGTAGCTTTACTGACAAAATTGAGTAACGATTCACCCATGATATCAAGAGGAACACCTGCATCATGTTTGGTATGTGTATCAGCCTTTGTAAATACCTTGTCGATAATTATCTTCTTTACTTTTTCCATGCCATCGTCTAAACCTATTCCTGTCTCAAGCGAGGGCCGGCTTGAGGCTATGGTTGATCATCAATGGAGATAGGCTTCTCGCTAAACGCACGGATGAAAATATTGCAAAAATATTCGAGAAGAGGGTTGCCCGCAACTAAAGCTTAGAGTCAGGTAATATGGAAATTCAAGTGGTCTATGCTCCATTCTTTCTCCAGGGGCGAGGTCTCGTATTTGACGTCCGTGTCAAAATGGGGCCTTGATACCTAGTACCCTTAATATATATCTGCCTTGCTGCCCATTTTCATCCTTCTTCCCCAATACCTCGATATTCAGGATCAATCATCCTGTTAAAATGAGTCTTAAACAACGTGGCTCTATACTTCTTTAGCTAGAATCCATGTATCTGCTTAATACCTACTGCCTAATTACTATCTCTAAATTGTGAGTGGAGCGGCCATTTTGCCGCTGTTGTGTTACGGTAAACCCAGTCGCAGTGGTGACTAGTCATAACATGGAAATGTGCAAGGAGCTTCATACAAGCCAAGTCTCATCATATTCAACTACCTTACATTATAGCATAGACAATAGCTTCAATGATACTCAATTTATGATCAACTACACGAGGCGTGCAGGATTATGTCATCAATGTCGGGGGTGCCGGACCGAAAGGCATGTGATGTCTGCCGAGGTCTGATTATTATTCAAAAATCACAAAGAGTGTTATATAACCGCCTGTTATTATGAAACAGCGTTTCTGCATGATATAGAATTACGCATTCTACCACCATATAACATCATGACTACTCTTTTCTCCGTTCCGATCACCTCGACCGGAGGCACCATCGTGTGCACCAAACCCACTGCCAAAGAGGGCAAGGAGCAGGAAAACATCTATGTTCTGACTTTCACGTCTCCGAAGGATAACCGACTGACTCCGACCTTTATCGATGCCTTCATCCTGGCACTGGACATTATTGAGCACCGCTATCCCAAGGGTGTCGTGGTAACGACCAGCGGTATTCCCAAGTTCTATAGCAATGGTCTCGATTTGGATCTGGCAACCAGCACAGAGGGATTCTTGGACAAGTGGCTGTGGCGTCTGTTCCGGCGACTCCTAACGTATGTCATCTGAAACTAAATAGTACATGACCGAGTATGAGCCAGAGTAGGTGCTAACTTCGTGTTCCAGATACCCCATGCCCACGGTATGCCTCCTGAATGGCCACGCCTTTGCTGGTGGCTTCATGCTCGCCATGTATCACGACTACCGTATTCAGAACCCAGAAAAGGGCTTCCTGTGTGTCAACGAGCTTGAATTTGGAGTCCCGCTCCAAACGCCCATGATGTCAATCTTCCGTGAGAAGTTGTCCCCGACTACGTTCCGCAACGTGGTCCTCGAGGCACGTCGATTTGGCGGACATGACTCGCTGAAGGCGGGAATTGTCGATGCAGTGGGTGGTCTGGACGAAGTTGTTGGTTTGATCCGCGATCGCAAACTGCTTAACAAGGCAGCGACCGGAATTTACGGCACTATGAAGGAGGAAATGTATTCTCGTGTTCTTAACGGACTTGATGATCATGCAGGAAACTTGACGTGGCGGGAGAAGGTGGAAGAGAGAAATGACCAGTTGCGGGTAGAGGGTCTCAAGGAGGTTGAAAAGTGGGAGGGATCAAGCAAGTCAAAGCTGTGAGGTAATATGCCCGCTGGCTATACCGGCGTTGTGAAATGTCCTTTGTCATTAGAGAAGGTGATTGGTCTTTTTTAATGCTTCATGGTCAAGTCAATTCATCTTTCCAGGGTTGGAAAGACTATTCGCAGGTGATTACGCATATCTTCGGGCGTAGCGATATGAGAAATCCTTTGTACTACCAGTCGTGTATAAATTCACACTGACATGATCAAGTCAAGAACCGAAATATTATTTCGTAGCATATAGCTACAAGTAAGGTGCATCTCTTCGTCAGAACTTGTATGCATCTCATAGCAACTCATCCAAAGCCGTCCGGAGGATAGCAAACAGTTCCTCTCCTAGCAGAGCCAGGGCTCCATCACTGAGCGAAGACAGTAACACGTTTCGTGTGCTGCACTTGTCACTGACTGGTTTGCCACTCAACCGATCTGATATCCACTGCAAAGCACTTGCCGAGCCGGTTATTGCCTCGGTCTCATGGTTCCCGATCAAATCTCGGTTGTATTCGATACGAGCGCCCGCGGCACAATACTTTTTGACAAGAGCATCCGTATCTTCCACGGGACTGACCTCGTCTCCAGTTGACTTGTAAACAAACATCGGTGCGATTGGAGTACCGTGAAGTCCCATTTGACCAGACCACTCGAAAATTGACCGAGGCACGTCCTCGTAAAAGGATTCTTCTCCACCCTTGAAGTAGGTATAAAAGTCTTGGTCACTTCCCATAGCGGCGGCCTGTGACAAACAGCCGCTAGCGATCGAATAGAATTCTGCTGACTTTGAAGGGATCAGGGTTGCATCTAGCCAGTCGGTAAGGTTTGGGAATGCTTTTGATTGCCCATATATGCCCGAGAAAGCAAGCCCGGTGTGCGATCCTTTATTGATGGTCTGGAGCACCGAAGTAATGTTTGGCGTTGTCCCTCCTACCGCAACGCCAGCAAAGTTGAGCTCTGGTGCGTATGACGATTGAAGCTCGGCGGCCCATGTAGACGCAAGAGCGCCCCCGGAGTATCCCCAAAGCGCGTACCGGGGATTTCCTGATAACCCCACCGAGGGTCCTTGATCAAGAATCACTCGAGTCGAATCCAGCACAGCTTGACCAGACTGAAGACCAGCCGAGAACTCGGCCTTTAGGCCTTCGTAGTCAGTGGTGAAAACCCACCAACCGAGATTCAGCGCTGCTGCAACCTGAAAATCTGGTCAGTTTCTGAAAGAAGTTAGAAGTGAGTCGTGGGCTTACGAATGGTATGTCTTCTGAGACGTTCATTCCGGACGACATAGATCCTAAATTGTCGTTCCCCACCTGCAGAGTATAAGATGGACTGCAATCCACATTTGCACTATCATAGAATGCCTGATATCCGACGAGCTTGGATGGATCCGAGTCATAGGGCTCGAGCAGCGTCACTGCCGAAGCGACTGCATCACCAAAACCATCAGTAGTCCGGAAAAGATACTGATAAACAGCCTTTACAGATACATTCGCAGACAATGCTGCAAATGAATCTAGCTGAGGGGAAACTGAGCGAGAACGGATCATTTCCCCAGCAGCATAGTCACTGATATTGCTGGGCTGCTCATACCAGGGATCTTGAGATGGCGGTAAAATCGAAGTTGCGAAAGTAGCGGAAAAGAAAATAGAGAAAGAGACAATAAACAGAATAGCTGCCGCCATCGTGTCGCTCCACTTGCACTCCTAGCCAAGCAACGATAAAGGAAAAAAAAAGGCACAACTCGAGCGAAAACCAGTTCACGGTCGCTTCTTGAACATATTTTTTTTACATTGTGTTGCCCAGCTCGTTAACTCTGGGATATACCCCGCTTGAAATATCACATCGTGACGACTTCATGTATGCATGCATAAGCGAGAATGTTGATCTTCCTGTACGGACTATTCAGCTGACTGACTTGAGGCACTGGCCAGTTGTTGTTCGGTTCCGGATGCATGATATCCCGCGAACGGCAACAAATTACCAGAATCGGCCACACGTTGCCATACTTTGGCTCAAGTGCCAATACAAGCGGAATTATTCATAGTCCCTATGTCTATTTCCAGCATTTATACAATAATTATCTATCAATGTAAGACATGAAAAGTGAGACAGGAACAAGACATCCTACGCCGTCGGTTTCCCGGATTCCGACGCTCGGACCAACAGCAGGCCAACTTGAAGGGTGGATGGAGCAGGGCCCAGCGACTTCCATATTCCCTGTCCAGCGGTCTCGGGGTTGCACGTATCTATCAGAATTCAGAACCCTGCGGATCATCGCCGCATAGTTACTAAATAAGATTTAGTCAAGAGATCCGTAGGCAAGCCCATGTCGGTGTGTACGGGCACGTGACCAATACACTGGCACTGTACGAAGAGAACCCCGTCTTCTCCATCAGGTATGTTTTTCAATTTTGATTAGAAGTTTATTAGAGGTTTAAGTGTATTTGAAAATTGATCTAATCCAATATTGTTTTCCTTGTGGTAGCTATCAATGCTAAATAGCTTGAGGCGTACTCAAGAGAAATTAACCCTTCTTGACTGTGATCTAGTATTTCTTGACTTGTGCGAATCAGATGCGATCTAAAGGAAGAATTCCATGATGAAGCTCTAGTCTCTTATCGCCTGATACATTCATGAAGGCAGCAGCCTTTCATGCTCCCAGAAGCTTTATGAGCTTGGCCCAGAGAAGATCCCAGTCTACTCGGCAGATGTCGCCAGGCTCAAGGCCAAAATCAGTTATTTGAGTGATCTAATAGATTGACATAGTGATATGGATGTTTGTATTGCGAGCTTGCCTGTAAACCCATTTGTTTGAATCTTTTTTTATTTTAGTAAACAAGCCTACGGTTCCGATCCAACGCGCAACTCCAATGCATGAACAGCTTCAACTTTCGGTAGCTCGGCTACATCTAGCATATTACATCATGATTTCTTCTCTATAGCTAAAGTTAGATCGTGTCAAGGTATATTTGAGAGTAGTCGTTTTACAATTTACCTAAAGGAATTCGATCTGTTGATGTAATTATGACTAGTGTACTTAAGAATATATAAAGTATACAAAAGGTTGCTCCGCTTCATAATTTTCCACTCTTACCGAGGCCTTTGAATTTTCTCTTGGTCAACTTACATAAAAACTTCTGGGTTGCTACAATGGCATACTGTAAACTTTGTGGCACGGATTTCCAGACTGCAGCATGGCAGACCAAGTGGCGAGCAAGTGTGTGCTCTCTGCCTCGACAGCGACCGATATCTAACATGTTGAAATGTAGTCTATTGCTTCGGATCAGGTCATGATGCCTACTTATCTGAAAGTTGGCGATTTTGGGAAAACCGAAGGCTGGCTACTTTATTCTATCCCTGACGACCAAACTCTGCCTTTCCCGGATGCGCACTTGAAGCTATTAGCTTCGATGGGAAGGAAACTGGAGACAGTGCAAGGCCTACTCTACTTCACGAAAAGTGTTGGGTGATCCTTCGGCAATATATTAATGCCGAGGAGCTCGATCTCAAGCAACTCTTCCATGCGCTTTCAAATATTTCTCACGACCAATTCTATCCTCTTTATTATTATCGCTTGAGTACCGTCGTCCACGTAATATCCCCCTGGGACATTTACGCTAACCACCTCTGGGCCTAGCTGAATCGGGACGTGGTATCAATGACCCGTCCAAGGAGCCGAAAATGCCAAGCTTAAAGCAATGTCCATCTCTGGCCTGCCGAAGCTAGATAAAAGTAAACTTTCGGCGCTGGAACAATAAAATTTTGCCTTGGAGCAACTCAAGCGATATCTTCAGGCGTCTTCCTCTGGAACTTATTGAGCATATATCGAAGTATCTTTCTACTGCGGACTTCCTGTGTTTCCATCAGGCTTCGCGGGCCGCTTCAGCCGTGTTCCACGGCCAATCTTTCTGGAAGAGCAGGTTTTATCTTGGTGGAGAGCGCGGCTTTTTCCATTACCTTCCAAGGGATGTGAGCCGTGGGGATGAGCCTTCGTGTTGGGATTGGCGACATGCGTATCACCATACTCGGAAACGATTGAACAAGAGTGGAACACATCGGTGCAGAAGGATTTTATGGCAGCGATGTGAATGGCTCAAGGACCGATATATGTCGACCAGGGCAGAGAAAATTTGGGCGGTTCTCAGCCAAAGAAAAGCAGCTTGCAAACAAATTGATTTGGGTAAACGAACGAGATCGGAGTCCCTTCGACATGAGCCAGGGGGCCCTCTCTGAAGTTAAAGACGTTTGCTTCGAACAGTTTCTTCTCAAGTATAAGTCACTCTGCCAAATTGGGATTTCAGTCTTTGAGCAACACTCTAAGGTGAAAGACTATACCACCTTTATCGCCGGGTTTGAGCTGATCTCCAAGAAGCGAGATCAACCAAACAAGATATTCGGTTACCGCATACCAGGAAAGCAGGTATACATTGACCTGGAGTCTCGGGAGGATCTCCGAGGGTTTGAGTATTCAATGAGCCGAGAGGGCATTCATGCTATACGACTCTGCCATATACGAACGTCGCACTGGGTAGGCTCACCCAAGCCAGACGAAACGAAGTGGGAAAGACTGGTTTCAGACCGAGAGATAGCTGGGATTTGGGGAGCCTTTGATGTACGCCGAATCCGTTATCTTACTTTTGCATGGATCTTACTGATATATTTCTACCAGAACTGCAAAATGGTCAAGTTGGCAATCGGGAATCTCTCTCTGACACCAAGTAGGGTGACCATCGCTGACGCGAACTCCTGTTTTCTTTGCTAATACGTACGCATCTTTGCTATCGCTGAAGAACTCCCGGAGATAGCTAGAACAGAGATCAATGTCATCTTTCAAATTGGTTTAAGTAACCATTGAGAAGGTTCCTCTGACCACAAATGTTGAGAGCTAAGGGTCCCAGACATGCATACTGGTCACTCCTTTCCATTGACCACGCGGCCGTGTAACATCTCGAAATGTAAGGATAGTTGCTTCTAGGCTGCATTTGCAGCTCATCCAACCGAGTCATGTAACCGACAAAAAAGCAATATATGGAACAGGACGAGTTTCATTCCCTAGTATCAGGATATCGGTCTTTTAGGAGACACCATGACTGGTGAGTATGCCGACCAGCTCCGAAAAGCATCGGACAGCTTCGCCGAATTTCCAAACAGGATACAGGGTATACCTGCCTTGTAAAGAGGTCTCAGGGCCATAGGTGAAGTATAAGAAGTCTGTGATATTCTCGATACTTGGTCTTATGCTCATCAGCATTCGCCTTTCAAGACCGAATCAAGCATTTTGTAAGAATATTAATCTTTTTCGTCTATTTTTGGCTCAACTAATGGACTCATCGCTTAGAACTTCTTAGACAGAATGCGTCTACAGTTCCTCTTCGCCCTCCTCAGCTTAGGCGGTGCTACTATCGCGGCCCCTCTGGCTAGCCAGGCTGGTTCGTGATTCTTTTGAGCTCGGAATTACCACTCGGTCTCTAACTTTAACTGAACTATAGGCGCTGATAACAACGATGGGGGCATCAGTCTCGGTGGTGGCGGAGGCGGCGGCGGTGGAGGAGGTGGCGGGATAGGAGGAGGGTTCGGTGTTGGTGTTGGGGGAGGCTTTGGAGCTAGCGGAGGTGCTGGCGGAGGCGCTGGAGGGGGTGATGAAGGGGGTCACGGAGGAGGTGACGAGGGAGGTCATGGAGGAGGTGACCAAGGAGGTTATGGAGGAGGTGCTGGAGGAGGCGCTGGCGGAGGTCTTGGAGGAGGTGGTTGGCACAAGTAGATAGGTCTATAGATCTATCAAGAGTGTGCTCGAGGCACGCCATTCCACACATTGCTCAGCATACGCTCCTATCCAGAGTTTCGCGTTGTATACGTGGATTGCCGGAATATTAATCACGTGCAACAAGTTCTCAAAGTTGAGCGATAGATATGAGAGGTAGATATCCAAGATGTTGGTGTTGAATCCTCTGAGTGGGGGTCTGGAAGGAGATGGAAATTGAACGGAATGATCAAGTCTGTTGTTCTTGTTGCCAAGATATCTCTCTAGTGTAGGTGCATTTCGTATTGTAAAAAGTACATCACTTCGTAAGGTAGGTATAAGGTCATTATCAAAAAGCGCTGGCAATCACAATCATGGCTTTTTGGGCTTGCTTGGCCGGGCCAGCCGCGCAGGGGTGTCCAACTGATCAACAAGTGGACGATAAGGCGAAGCCAACAGATACTCCGGCGCAGGTTCTCGCCTGGGTTCACCGGGAGTAGGTCGTCGTAGCTGCTCTTCATGCATGCGATCCAGCGGTTCGCCCACGACTTGGTACTTGGCCCAGTTTATCGGCGGCATTCGTACCACGTTCTGAGGCGGCGGTAGGCGGCCAAACTTTGACGTGGATGTGCTGTCTGTTTTTGATTTCTTATCGCCCTCCATGTGGTCTTCTTCGGTGTCCATGACATCGTCGTCCGAGAACTGGATCACCGCCCCGCGATCCTCGGTGCGCAAACGGCCTGTCGCTAGATCATGCGCAAACCCCTCCGGGTCCGCCCCAGCAGCCTCTTTCAGACGATCTAAACTTCGAATATCGCGCAGCGTTTGCTGCTTCTGCATTTGCAGGATAGATATGGCAGATCGCAACGCGATAGCATCCGGATTCTCGCTCTCGGATATAGGTACTGGCGGGGGTTCTGGCTTGAAGACGGGCGGGGCTGCTGGAGGCCGTGGTGGTCGGTAGCCCAACAGAGGTTCCGGGAGCGCATGCGATGTAGGCGAAGGTGACAGAGGGGGAGGAACTATCGTGGCGTCGGCAGAGGCGACCGGGTCAAGGTGCGCGAAAACTGGGGTCACCGGGGAATAAGGTGGGCGGGGTGGGGTGCCTGGGCGATCATTCAGGACCGAGGCCTCAGTCGCATCTGGCGCGGACTGCATGATATAGTGAGAAAGAGAGTATTGTGCACTTCGCACAAAGAAAGGCGACCAAAGGGGGGTCCAGCGCGTCGTCAAAGGTGAGGTGCGGAATGCAGGATCGGAATCGGAGTCGAAGGCTGGAGGCGTTCCAGCGATCCAGACTGGGTCCGCGGGAAGTGACGACACCGGGAGTGCGGCTGAGTGGAATAAGGAACAACCACCAGCGGGAAGACAACGGTTTGCAGAACCCAATGAACTCGATTGATAGGGTGGTCAGCAAGTGTTTTGCTATAATTTGAGATAAATTTGACTCTCAAAGATGACAGGCCCGAGACACCATGAGATTTTGCCAGTACGGTCTTGCGGCTCCGTGAGCCCTATACCTGTGTCAGGTACTGGAGCCTAGCCTGAAAGAACATCGGATGCACATCCAATGAGCTGGGAGTGACCATGAACTGACTTGGACAAAGAAAGGGACTTCTCGTCTTATCGTCCAAGCAAGATGAGATTTAACAGAGAAGGTATTGTTGGGGAGTGATCTGGTGGTCTCCGAAGCCAAAGCGATTGACCGCCCAGCTTGTGGCTCACCGCCCTGACGACAAATTCTAGCGGTCACAGCGGAAACACAGCGGAAACACAGCGAAAACAGCGGATATGCCGGACGTCATCCCAATCACGCAATACATTTCCCTAGTGGCCGCTATCGTTTCCGCACCGCCTCCGAAAATTTTATGATCAGACCACCGTCTAGTTTACTTGTTTACTCTCATACAACCTGCAAAATGAAGCGCACAACGGACGAGAGGCCCTCACTCGATGGCAATGGCCTGCCAGAGTCCAAGAAGCGCGCCCTCTCTAGCGAGGAGGCTGGTGCGCGCTTCAGCGACGGCCTATTCGACCCCGCGAAGCAGCAGAAGTACACCGACGCATACGCAACGTCGTCCCCGTATGGGCTTTCTAAATACAATTGTTTTTTAATGACTTTGACTAATATTGCTTTTTACCAGGTACCTGCACGGTGTTATCTGCCCTTTGATTGAACCTTCCCTGCTGCGATCCGTCCGGGATGAGGTGCAAGAGCATCTGTCCTTCACCGAGAAGGAGACCGACATCTACAAGATCTTCCAATCCGGTGACCTGGCAAACTTGGATGGCTTGGACGACTCTTCTCTATCCAAGCTTCCCTCACTGCTGAAGCTTCGCGACGCCATGTACTCAGCCCGCTTCCGCGAGTACCTCTCCTCTGTTACCGGCTCTGGAAAGCTTAGTGGCAAGAAGACCGACATGGCCATCAACATTTACACCGAGGGTTGCCATCTTCTGTGCCATGACGATGTCATTGGTAGTCGCCGTGTGAGCTACATCCTCTATTTGACCGACCCCGATACCCCGTGGCAGGAGGAGTGGGGTGGTGCTCTGCGCCTATACCCGACCACGACGAAGAAGGATGCCACGGGCGAGGATGTCAAGATTCCCAGCCCGGACTACAGTCTTTCTATCCCACCTGCCTTCAACCAGCTGAGCTTCTTCACCGTCCAGCCTGGTGAGAGCTTCCACGATGTCGAGGAGGTGTACCACTACCGCGAAGGCGACGACAAGTCGAAGAAGCGCGTGCGCATGGCCATCAGTGGATGGTTCCACATTCCCCAAGAGGGAGAAGATGGTTATGAAGAGGGACTTGAGGAGAAGCTCGCCGAGCGCAGCAGTCTCGCCCAGCTCCAGGGCCGCGGTGACATCTACGACCTGCCCCAGCCGAACCCCGTGTCCTGGGAAGAACCAGAACCCGAGGTATCTGGAAAGGGCAAGGGCAAGATGGTGGAACAGCCCGCGGGTAACGAGTTCACCGAGAACGATCTCGAGTTCTTGGTGCAGTACCTGGCACCGTCATATCTCACACCTGACATTGCCGAGGAGATGTCCGAAGTCTTTGAGAACGAGTCCTCGCTCAGTCTGGAGCGCTTCCTCAATGAGAAGTTTGCATCTCGTGTGAGCGCATACATTGAGGACCAGGAGCGACAGACCCTGCCCAGTTCTTCCGAGGAGATACAAGCTACGACTGAGTGGACTGTAGCCTGCCCTCCCCACAAGCACCGCTATCTGTACCAGGAGCCCGTCGAGAACGACATTAGCAACCCGATCAAGGAGATTCTAAACGTCCTCTTCCCCTCTCAGGCCTTCCGCAAGTGGCTTGCACTGATCACCGGTGTGGACCACCTTAAGAGCCATAATTTCCTTGCCCGTCGCTTCCGCCGTGGCGCGGATTATACTCTGGCGAGTGGCTATGATGGTGAGGAGCCACGTCTGGAGTTCACTCTCGGCCTGACTCCCACGACAGGATGGGAGAAGGAGGTCGAGGAGGATGAGGATGAGGACGAGGAGGATGGCGAGAATGGCGCCTCGGCGAAGAGCTCCAAGGCCAAGAAGGAGACACCCGCCGAGGCTGCTGAGCACCCTTCAGTCGGTGGCTACGAGATCTACATGGCCGGTGATGAGGATGAAGAAGAGGAGGAAGACGAAGAAAACGCAGACCAAGTCCTCCGACCCAAGAAGGCCAAAGCCGATCCTGCCATCTACCGCTCCGCCGGCGCGGACGAGGACGACGGTATCCTGTTCAGCACCCAGGCTGGCTGGAACCGCCTCAGCATTGTGCTGCGTGATAGCGGTACGCTGAAGTTTGTCAAGTACGTCAGTGCCAATGCCAAGGGTGACCGATGGGATATCACCGGTGACATCGGTGTGGAGTTTGACGATGAGGAGGATGAGGATGATGATATGGGTGATGAGGATGAGGAGTAGACTTTTTTTTAAAAAAGGAGATTTTGTCATTCAAGCATGGACAATCAAAAAGCTGTAGATATACCTATGTAATGCCAGATATGATTTGTTATTCTTTTCTTCATTGCCTGATCCTCTAAACTAGTATGAAACGTAAAAAAATTGAAGTCTGAAGGTAGCGTTGACCGTTGCAAAAGTTACCTCAAGCCTCCACACCCTGAGAGTTGTGGGGCTGCGCAAGACACCAGACAGGCAAGTCTCTAGTCCTGCATCTTGAAGACTCGTGTTGGATGCCTGCTATCTTGAGAAAGAAGCGTCAGCAGTATTACTCTGGAAATAGATGGGTGGATGAAACCTGTCAAGTTCGCCGCAGGAAGGAAGAGAGAAGGCAATGCATCTGTGTTAAATTGAACTCGGGACTTGTCGTGCTCTGGCATCGTGAATACTACTCGTAGGTGTGAGCCTCCAAGAAAAGCTCGAGCCTTGATAATCTGGCGATGAAACCATGTTGCGTTTTTGTTGAAAATCAGCTTGTAGATGGCATATTCACGAGCAAAGAGCAGACGGACTGCGCTTCTATTCATGTTAACCTTCTAGTGATTTATCTAGCGACACAGCTTCTTATTTACCTCCATAATTTTTCTCTCACAGGTTGGTGGAAAAAGCAATATCCTTTGCCTGTGCCAGGTTCTCCTGCACAGTGTCAAGCTTCGTCTGGAAGCGTTGATAGCAGTCAGGGCCAAGAGGGAGTCGCAGCAGACTTTCTTTGCCAGCACCAATTCCCGTGCCGGTCACAACTTCCAGAATCCGCTGGGCAGCCTTGACAGGGTCACCAGTTTGCTTCCCATCATGTGTTTTGAATTTGTTCAGGGTAGCCTCGAGGGGAGTTCCAACGTAGTCCTGATTCAGCCCAGTGGCAGGCTCGACATAGGCTGACAGGAACTTGGTTCGGAATTGGCCAGGTTCAACGATGAGGACCCGGATACCGAAGGGGGCTAGTTCTCTCGAGAGACTTTCAGACATACCTATACATCCATCCGTATAAAAATTCATTTTGATTAAGGTCCAAAGTTCAGAGGTACTCACCCTCAAGAGCAAACTTAGACCCCGCATACATCGCACAAGAAGGCAACCCATCCATGCCAGCGATGCTGCTCACGTTCACAATCGTCCCCGATCGCTGCGCCCGCATGAATGGAAGTGCACCCTTCAACACTCTCACGGGGCCATAAACGTTCGTACTGAACTGGTTCTCGATCTCGGCCTCGCTCATATCCTCAATGCTACCGAGCAGCGAGTACCCCGCATTGTTGACGACCACGTCGATCGCGCCACCGGATTGGCGAATAGCGTCTTCCACCTTTTTGGGTGTTTCTGTACTCGTCACGTCAAGTTCAAGCCATGTGCCTCCCAATTCTTCGATTTGTGGATTCTCTTTGGCTGCTTTGGTGGGATTGCGGGCTGTTGCAATGACTTTGTTTCCAGCACGAAGGGCTACTTCGGCGATGGCAGTGCCCAGACCCGAGGAGGCCCCGGTGACGAGCCATGTTTTGGGGGCCATAGTGGGAGTGACTGTGATCGGGTAGCAGTCGTCGTGGGGGCGGAATCAATAATGGTGAGTAATAGTTGGCAAAGGTCGAAGCTGCAGGGGAACGTTGAGATTTAGGACAATTGAACGTGAGTAGCGATTCGGGGGATACGGCGTTTAAATGTGCACCCACTGGATGACGGAATCAAGTGCGGAATCAAAAGACGGTGGGACTCGGTCGGGGCGAGGCTGGTCTTTCGGAGTTTACGGCCTTGCGATCCTGCATTTCCCTATCTGATGGAGAACTGGTCGGTATTAAGCCGGATTTACTGGGCTGTGCTTAGATGTTTAGTACCTACAACCTGTGGATATTTATCTTCCCTTTCTCTATCGAAGGCATGAGTTGAGGCTGAATGGTTCTCTAGTTGTTGTCCCGTAATAAGTTGTACCGAGCTTACGGGTCTTACAACTCACCATACCTTCTCTCACTTTTGTAAAGGCAAGGAAGAAGCAATCAAGTTTACTCTTGCTGCGTCACGGGTTGTACAAGGGCCTCCCGTGCTAACGAAATCGTTACTGTATACCATCACAGCCCTACGAGACACGAGCCTTGGATACACCAGTGCCCTATTGGTCAGAAATGGAAGCACTTGACGCTGTAAATGGCTCTTCTGTGCCAATTCTCTGCATAAAGCTTCCTTAGCCATGTTATTCCATTGCTAGAAAAGCGGGGTGAAGCACAAATGTGGAGAGCTGCGGCTCATGGATCAAGCCTCGGATCGCGGGAACTAGGTATACGCTTCTCCACAACCAAAAGTAAAGGATAATAGCCATTATTTAACGAAGATAACCAGCTAGATTCGAGATGAAAGTTCACGTTTCTGTCTACTAGACTACCTTTTACACTGATCAAGCGGCCATGACGACTTCCACATTTGAGATCGATGATAAGTTCAAGTACTTAAATGGCTTCAACGGCTACCATCAGTAGGCAGATTCCCCATCAATGACATACTCAAGCGACTCACTAGAAACAGGTCTGAAGCTACAGAAGGAGCCATACCATCGGTCATCAATATCCCTCAAAGCTCAAAATACGGACTCTACACGGAACGCATATCGGGAAGCTCCTTTACTGCCCCGAGGAAAGACTCGAAGCAGACATGGCTCTATCGGCTTCTCCCATCGACATGCCATGGAGAATTCACCGTGTTAGAGAATCATCCATTCAACTCTAGCCAAGTCTCGGACTCAAAGTACCAGTACTCGCCAAGTCAATCCACCTGGGCCCCCGTACGAATCGCCAAAGAAGCAGATTTCCTCACCGGTCTTCAATTGATCGGAGGAGCTGGCAATCCAACACTGAAAGAAGGACTTGCATACTATGTCTTCACCGCTGGACAGTCAATGCCACCCAACCAGGCATTCTACAGTGCAGATGGAGACTTTCTGCTCGGTACGCTCCATGACCCTCTCACCAGCAACGTCTTCTCACAAGAATTATAGCTCCCCAAACGGGCTCTCTCGACTTACGCACAGAAATGGGCTATCTGCGAGTCCGGCCCAACGAGATTTGCGTCGTTCCAAGGGGAATCCGTTTTCACGTTTCACTCCCGGGAGGTCCCGTTCGAGGCTTTGCGCTTGAACTGTTCGAGGGCCATTTCGAGTTACCTGAACTCGGGCCTATTGGTTCTACTGGCCTGGCTAATATTCGTGACTTTGAGATCCCTACTGCCAGCTACGACAACTCGGACGGTGATACGGATATAATTGCTAAATTTGCTGGGCAGTTGCACCGGACTAGCCACCGGGGTAGTATATTCAATGTCGTCGGGTGGCAGGGTACATATTATCCCTACAAGTATGACCTGGGTATGTTGGTGCCTACTCCTATCTTTGTATTCTCGGCGCTAAAAGCTAGATTGTAGGTAAATTCAACACCATCGGTTCGGTCTCATACGATCACCCGGTACGTTTGTCTGTGTTTGAAAGCTATTCGATCAATCGTGCTGACTTGCCTAGGACCCATCGATATTTACAGTTCTCACCTGCCCATCGTCTATCCCAGGTGAAGCCGTCGTTGACGTTGCGGTCTTTGGTCCTCGCTGGCTGGTCATGGAGAAGAGCTACCGTCCGCCGTACTTCCACCGAAATACTATGTCGGAGTTTGCTTTTCTCATTAAAGGCGGCTTTGACGTTACCCCGTTACCACCGCAGCTGGCGGGACTTTTCTCGCTGAATAACACGATGTGTGCCCACGGAGCAGACCCGGAAAGCTGGAAACAAGCAACGGATAAGGTGCTGCAGCCTCAGAAAATTCCACCAGGGAACTTGGGAGTTATGTTTGAGAGCCGGTGAGTTGCTGTGTTGACGTTTATATCTCGGACTGCATAGTCACAGAATTAACATACTCTATAGATACATTATCGGTTTGACAGAGGTAGCGAATAAAACGTTGGTGAAATTGCCTGGAAAGTCTGCAGCCTTTGCGGAGTTCGAGAAGGCGAAGATTTAATGTATCGCGAACTCGAGCTATGTATTGAAGTTTTTGTTTGGCAATGATAGGATGAACCTGCCTGTATTAGCCTTGAGTTGTATCTTTAGCTGATTGACGTATCATCAACGAACGTATTTGGCGACGTTGGTTAATTAACATAGGATCACACTCACGGCCCTACGAGAAGCTCTCATGACACTACAACGCCAAGTCTGATTAGAAATGTAACTTCGAGTAGCACAGAGTATAAAGGCCTAGCTAGATAGATACGTGTCAATGTCAACCTATTCTAATTCAAAAGATCTTTCGGGATATACTACTGTATATCTTTTTGAAGAGCTCTATCAAGAAGTCTCAATCTAACTTTCTGAGGCAAAACTAAGAAGATAATCTAGAAATTTAGCCAGGATTTTCAAGTTTACAGTCTCTCTGTATATACCTTTTCATCAATGCTGCCCGCAGATAATCTTAGTATTATTGTAATTATTTTATGCTCGGAAGGTGCGTCTCCAATCAGACTTTGCTTGGATATTCCACGAAATGTCTTGGAGTGCCATGAGTATAATCATTTTGATACCGAGCAGCAATATACTTAGAACAAAGTTCTAGCTGCGTTTATTCTAGAGCACTCGCTCCTGCTATGTCTTCTTAGTTACTGTCATACTTAATTACTGTCATACAAAATCACAGGCAGCAGTCATGGTGCATCCTTGGTGTTAGCCACCATGCGCCAGCTTCAACAGCCAAAATCACATCCAAACCAAACGATAATCCTTTCGTCATCGATCAGTTCAGTCCTTATCATCTAAGTGTCAAATAATGAATCACACCCACCCGCGCAGATAGTATCCAGATAGTCGTCGATCATCAATCATCAACCCGTCTCCACGGTTTATAGCCCCATGTTGCAGCCCCCCTGACATGAAACCACCCTATAATCGACTGACCCCGCCGCAGCGCTTAACCAACTGCTCTGACCATTCCTAGCGTATACTACTTCGCCTCGACAATTGACGTCATTTACGAAGTATTTAACCGCAGGTGGGAATCGCAATCATTTCCAATGAAACAACAGAGAGCGGCGACAATGGGTGTGGACCACGGCCGAGCGTGCAGGAAATCGGTCCACATGGCCCGGGAGCGCGATGAAAGGATCTCGATGCACCCAGTCCAAGCCTTAGAGGATTAGGGTGATTGATTATTGGATATATGTCTTGGCTAATTCTTGTCAATAGGTCGATCAGAAACAGGTAAGGAACTCAGAGAACTGGCTGGAAACAAAAGAATTGCTCTCTTGCGTGTTGCGTAGCATCACTACCTTTAAGGGTTTGGAATATATTTTCCTACGTATGCTGTAGACTACATATCATTCGTCCATACAGTATTTGTGCACTCACATCGCCTCATCGAGACCATGGCCTAGACTCGGACGCCTTACGATCAACTGGACAATGACCAAGTCCAAGACCCAAGACCATTCTCCAAAATCCAAGCCCAGGCCCGCCCTAGCCCTGGGCAGGCAATTCTCCTCACCCAAACAATGTCTATACTGGCCGAGGCCGACTCGACTCGCTGGGTGACCCACCGCCGCAGGAACCTCTGCACGCGAAAAGAAAGCTAGGGGGGGGGATGAGGAAGGGAGGATCAGTAATCTACGGTGCAGTCCAGTCCAGCCTCACGCAGCACGCGTTTCTTTCCCCACCCAACGCGACAGGATCAGTGGAGCTTCAGCCTTGAAGGGGGGCCCACGCTGAGTGCAACCATAGCACTTCCCAGTGACCCAAGGAAACCAGGAAATCAGGGATGGGTAGAGAGAGAAGGAAAAGCAAAAGAAAGGAATGGAAGGGCAGCTTTTGGGGGGCGCGCCGAATCCGGGTGATCGACGGGGTTGGAGCTTAGGTGGGAACCAAACTAGAGAGGGTGCTTTTTCCGGGAGCCTCATGGCCAAAACCCAGGGTCTGTGGCTGATGGCCATGGGCTCAGCCGGTGGGAAGTCAGGAAGGGGGGAAAGGAGGGTGCAGGTGCTGGGATTTTGCTAGTGATTGAGTCATGGTTTTTTTTTTTTTTAGTTTTTGTTTACAGTATTTTGAGTTTTTATTGATTTGGGATCTTTTTCTGTCGGTATTCATGCTGTGATTCACGCGGAGAATGGGGCGGATCCAGGGTGTTGGGACGGTATTGGGTGCTGGGGGGCATGGAGGTGGGGGGTCGTGGTTTGCTCGCGTGTTGAGACTATTGAGTGGGCCAGCAAGGAGCGTGTTTTTTATGGGATTGGGACGTGTCATGGTATCGGCGTGTTGGAAAAAAAGAATTATGAAATAAAAAGTACTTTCTGCACGTCATGCTTATGGGGGATATAGCCCATGGGAATGGAGAGTTGAAGACAAGGAGGGCGTGTGGTTCAAGTGGATACTGGGAACTATTTGCATTGCTAACTCTATCTGAGTGCCTTTTACAGAATCCCGACGAATCTTCAAAATAACGAATGAAGTCATCAAGGGAGTTGAACATGTGGATCTTGAACCTGGAGCAGTGGACCTCGTGAAAGGCAGAAACCGAGATGCCATCCCTTCCAGGAAACATGGCGTCTTTTTTTAGCGCGACATACGGAGTAACAAGCGACACAGAGTCGCAACGAGAATTCCTATCGAATCACCGACCACAATGCGGAGCCATGACCATCATTAAGCTCAAAATAACTACAGGTATCAGCGCCGTGACCCGTCGGTGGCGACTCGATGGGATCCGCTCTGTGTGCCCTCAGGAATGGAAGATTGCTACCGTCGTGCGAGAAGAGGACCAAGTATGTACGCGTGTTCGATGGAGTGGCAATGCCCCAAGCCCAGAGACATTCTGCAAGGCTACGGCGCCATGTGGCAATGCTCAGCCGGGGTATGATAGGCGTTGAGATGGGCGGCTTGAAGAAGCGATCGGGTAGGAAGGGTTGAGCTATCGCTGGGACATTCAGCCGAGCTGAAACACGATGTGGCGGTGCCCCACGACCACGTCTTTACGGTGTATGGGTTAGTCGATGAATACTAGTGTTCAAGCAGGAGATCCGATCTCGTCCATCTCGTAGCATCTGTCCTCAATCATTGGCTGCATGTATTCTTGTTGCCTACCCGTTCCAGGGCAACGTACGTAACTATAGTATAGTAGGTGCCGCATCTCATCGGCGGTGCTGTTTTTAGCAGGGTTGTTGAGGGATCTATCGGCGGGCCCCCTTGGCACCAGTGGAGGTTGTCATTATGGGATGGATCGACTCCAGAGGGGCAAACCGAACCCCGGGCAACAGGGTGACAAGAGCCGAGATCAAATTGACACATCTACTTCAGCAGCCAGCCACCACAATTCCGTATAGTGGAATCAAACCATGGATCTTCTGGGGCCGGGACGACGAGGGAAAGTTTGCTTGAACAAAAAAAAAAAAGAAAGATCGGGTCGAGGATAGCGAGCAAGAGGGCTGGCTCCGAGCAGTTCATGAACGCCGTGGCTCGGGGGGAGCCTTGGGTGGCTGCCGCCCGGGGCTCGACCGTTCCGTACCGCACTCACACTGCCCTAGTCCCTATGCCGTACTGTATTTTTGTCCTTGGTTTAGTTGAACCAGAAATATCCAGTGATATTACCCGGCCTTTGGACAGGTCGAAACTGGAGCTATTGCTTTTCATCCCTAGCTCGGGCGCTGAGTGGCTTCGGTTGCTCGGGCAGCAAACCCTAGGTACAGTCAGACCAAACCGGCCACTCTTCGGGGGGATCTAGAAATGCTACGGGAGGTAAGCTCTGATACTGGGCCAAGAAAGCTTTCGAGTCGTACAAGCGACTAGAACACTCCGAGATGAGGCAGGAGCCTAGGTGTGAAGCTAATGCAGAGCGTGCGGAGGGAATGAGAATAGTCTAACAATATACCTTTGTGGCGGAATGTGAATGGAATATGACCGGACTACTCGACAGGTGGCTTCATATCAATCGTCTATACCAATTGTGAGTACCTACTTTCTTCATCCACACCAAGCGCTTTAAAAAAAAGATGCTTTCGAGTTATTACAACCACAGTAGCTACATAGTACTGTAAAAGATAGCCGTGCGCGGACCGAGCGCACAGAAACCGCCGTACTGCGTGGATCTCTCCTCAATTAGCAATGAAGGCATCGAATCGAGGAACGGGCCAGCGATAATTGGGCCGCCGCGCGGGTGGATGCATCTTCCGGCCCAGTCCGAGTTGCGATCGAAAAAACCGTTCGAGCTTCAAGTTCGACTAGGAAAGAAGCTCGAGCGCTTGAGCGTGAGCTTGAGCTTGATTGGATCTCGTTGGGTGTGGGATAGTTGGCAAGCTGGCTGACTAGCTAACGATCTACACAGCGGAGGATATGGATTCTGTTCATCCTCCACGCGGGCCCGGTGTGGTGTTACCACTTGGCGACCGGCGATTTAGTTTCGTAGGGGTGTTGCTGTCGGTGTCCGTGTCCGGGGTTGCACAAACGGATTGGGAGGTGGAAGGGTAGGAGTGGGTTAGGCTCAGTGGCAGGGGGAGTTAGTGGTTAACAGTAGGAGGGTCGTTGTTTGGACGGTTTTAGTCGGGGAGGAAGGGGGAGGATGAATGGGGCCGAGTATACATGTCAGAAACATGCAGGTACGCTGTTTGGAACTGGTTGTGCTAGGTACTGGACAAGTGCTTTTTGCAAAGAGGTTAATCTACGAAACACCCACGGGGTTACACTTGTGGGTTAACTATAGGCCTGGTATATACTCCGTAGAGAAACGAGGTACAGAGCAGGAAGATCAAACTAGGCACCACCGTTGCGATGCCCTGCAGAGTGGTTTTAGTGGGAAAGCGATCATGTGCGTCTACTGTGAAGAAGCGTGGCTGTGGGTTGGATAGATCGTCCATGGGGGGAACGAGAGAGAAGAGTGGAGAGAGGCATGTACTTCGTACAAGTCCTCGGCTCGGCTGGCCTGGTCGAGCAGGGCTTGGATGTAGATGCATGTACTCGATACTCGACCCGGCCAGGCCTGCAGCCGTGCACTCGAGGTACAAGGAACCACCCCTGCCTTTGTACATACAGGGGAAGAGTGTCCACCGATGAATATGCTAATAGCATAAGGGCGTTCTCTACTTCTGTACGGAGACTCGGTACTACACTGTAGTCTACTGTGGTCACTGTACATACCAGCTCCTCTCCTCATCCTACGAAATCACTAATGCAGTCAGTTATGCACCAATCCCTGTCCAGCGTCCACCGGTCGGCCTGCCATGTGTTCAACGCCAATGGGGACTAGCGTGTTGCCTACGGCCGCTATTCTTCTTTCATTCTTCCTTGCTCTCCTCCCCGGTCGCAAATGCAAATTGGAAGTAACAAGCCCCCCCCCCTCTTTCACGACCGTTGACTGGAACCCTGGGTAACCCACGCCCGTGTTGAGGGTCAAGTGGAGCAGAAGAGCTTTTCTGAAGGCAGCTCCGTGAATTACTACCCTCTCCTTCCAAGGTCATGCATAACGTCACTCGTCACGACGACGGAGTCAGTTTCTGTACTTGAAAGGGAAAAGGCTGCAAGGAGCCTAACCCCCCCTGAGGTCGATCATTTTGCCACGTGAAAGGGGGGCAGAAGAAGGAGGGAGCTGGAGCCACACCAACCATCTTTTTTTTTGGCGAGAGGAGGGGGGGG